TCGGTCTGTCAGTCTGTCAGTCTGTCAGTTAGTCTGTTTGTCCGTCTGTCCGTCTCTGTCTCTCTGTTTCTCTGTCTCTCTGCCTCGCTGTCGGTCTGTCTGTCTGCCTGCCTGCCTGGCTGCCTGGCTGCCTGCCTGTCTGTCTGCCTGCCTGGCTGCCTGTCTGCCTGCCTGTCTGCCTGCCTGCCTGTCTGTCTGTTTGTCTGTCTGTTTGTCTGTCTGTCTCTCTCTGTCTGTCTCTTTGTCTCTGTCTCTGTCTCTGTCTCTGTCGCTCTCTCTCTCCCTCTCTCTCCCTCTCTCGGTCTGTGTCTCTGCACAAGCTCTCGCTCCGCCCGTGTAGAATGGATGTATAGTGCACGAGCACCCTCGGAACACACTTCCCGCCATCCTGACCCCTACAGACCCCGCATGGCACTGTCGCGGGCACGCGATTTCTCACTTTCTCCCGACTACCTATCGCGTTCGGGAAGACCTCAAAACGCGAACAACATGCATCTTGGAAAGCCTCGAAATTGCCACTGCAAGCTGAGTGCGTTGTGGACGGCGCAGAAAAAAAAGTGTCCTCCTGCCCGGCCTCAAAGCAAGGTACATTTCTTGCGTTCAGACTGCCCGGAATTTTTTTTCGTCGTCGGTGCCCTCCCCGAAGACTATACTGTTAGTTGGCCTCGAAAATGTCAGACTGCAAGCTGAGCGCGTTTTGTGGAAAGAATCGAAAACGCAGCGTTTCCACCTTCCCGGCCGCAATGGCAAGCAAGGCACGTTTCGTACGTTCAGACTGCCCGGCGCAAGTTTCCTTCCTCGGTGCCTTCCCCGAAAACTACTTTCTCATGGGCCTCGAAAATGACGGACTGCAAGCTACGTGCGTATTGGCAGGCATCGAAAACGCACTGTTTCCCCCCTCCCGGCCGCGAAGCAAACTATATAGGTTTCGTATGCTTAAACTGCCCGGCGCTAGTTTCGTTCTTCAGTCCTTCCCCGAAGACTATTATATACTTTTTCATTGCCGAGGGACAACAAGTTAGTACACTTGTGGCGGCGCGCACATGACGTGTGACATCAACAGTGAAACATCGGGGTACATTACTCTACACTTGTTTCTCTTGTTCCTGCAGACGGGAGGCACTGCTTGCAAATTGACTACAGCACTCATGTACGCGAGTGCAAGCAATTCAGGCACTGTACTCGTCGTCGCCCGTTATGCTATGAATATTTGAGCGTGTCATGGATGCGGTCCACATCGACTGAGCTGCATTACAATGTGGGGGGGGGGGGGGCGTAAGCCCTGAACGGCGGGTAGTCGAAGTCCGGCCAAACACTGCTTTCATGTTTGGATTAACTTGGCGACTTTGGTTTTTGATTTCGCTGACTGGCTTTGTTCTTGTTGCTTATTACTTCGGGAAGATTGCACCGGCAGTCTTCAGAGCCTGTTCTTTGGTCTTCGGTTGTCGCAGGCGGAACTGTTGGACCGACGGCTCTCTGTCGTGGGCATCGATTACGAGGCTCTCTCTCCCTCTCTCTCTCTCT